ACGATATCTTTGAGTACTGTGTGGGCGCATGTCGCCAGTTTGTTGTTTCGCTGTTTGCATGGATGACAAGTGAGAAGAAGTCAAGTATGATTGCAAAATTGTCAGAATCCAACAAATTCTAACAAGGTCCCTCAAACTCACTCCATCTTTCATTGGAGCACTGGTAACGAATTTTGAATTTGTGATGTGACCCTGAGGCAAAATTTGTTCAGTAACTTCAGTTTATTTTTCTGCATCACATAGTTTTTTTTCGGATTTTTATCTTCTTCTTCTTTCTTTTTTTTTTTTCTTTTTCTTTTTTTTTGCTGGGCCCTTCGCGGTCCTTGCACGGCTGGGCCGGCCGGTCAAACAAGGTGACCCGGGCGTTACGGATGGTAGCCGAACTCGAGCCCCGAATATGACACTTTTTTTTTTTTTTTTGGCCATCTTTCCGCAGCATAATTTCATTTCGGTATAGAAGATAGAAGGCCGGCCGGTAAAAAAAGGTAACCAGGGCGTTCCGGATGGTAGCCCAACTCGAACGACGAATATGACACTCTTTTTTTTTTTTTTTTGGCCATCTTTCCGCAGCATAATTTCATTTCGGTATAGAAGACCCTTTCCTTCATAAACTTCACACCACCTTCCTTACTCAGGCGATTGAGGGCAGAGGAGGAACACCATGGCGGGAGAGGGGGAGAGAGAGAGGGAGAGAGAGAGAGAGAGAGAGAGAGAGAGAGAGAGAGAGAGAGAGAGAGAGAGACGTACAATTCCTTTGAAGAAAGCAATTTGTGCTGGGCTGAACCGCGTTCCAAATTTAGCATGTTCATCCGCTGATTTATTCACAATGCCAAAGTATAGCTTTCCATCGTCCTGGCAAACTGCACTTCGAATCTCCATTTGCACACTGTTTAACTCTTGATTGATTGTCTGTATGAAAATCTGAAAAGATGTCACTAAGAGCACCATCACAAATGACGAAAAGCACAAATGAATTAAATTTAATTAATCATGTCATCATCAACCATAAGTGGCAAATCAGCATCAGCATCAGCATCAGCGTCAGCATCAGCATCAGCATCAGCATCAGCATCAGCATCAGCATCAGCATCAGCACCAGGATCAGCACCAGCATCAGCACCAGCATCAGCACCAGCATGACTAAGGCAGAGTTGAAGGTGGACAAGGATTCCGTCGAGTTATGAGAATGACGCCTCGGGTTCTGGGCCAATGCATTATGTGAAAGATGGTGAAACATACATAAATGGGGGGAATTAAGAAAAACATAATGTCCATTCGCAGAAATCAAAACTGCAAAACATGTGTACATCGGGACATCCGTTAAATTAGAACGATACAGAGAAAGAAGATTAGCATGGCATGGCCCCTGCGCAAGGATGGCACGCATACATCGAAAAATGGTCCAAAAAAAAAAAAAAAAAAAAAAAAAAAAAAAACAATCTCTTATGGTAATTAAATACGGGAACTTAAAGTATGGCATCTCCAATAATGGGCCTGGATCCACACTGCGGTCCGAAACTGCTTCATTGTCAACGCATACATGTAAAAAAGAAAAACCCAACTCTCAAGCTGGGTTGTATACATTCACGATATTCCGCGCTTTGGACCAACATAAGCGAAACCATGAAAGCGCGAAAGTTTCCTCAAAAAAAAAAAAAAAAAAAAAACAATCCAAAAGATGCGACTGCTCATAAACAGATAATGAAGTTAAATCCTGAAGGATACAATTATTACAATATTATATTAAATCATGAATAATGGTAGGAAATGTTAGGAATTAGGAGCTAACCCCTTTTATCATTTAAAGCAAAAAAAAAAAAAAAGAATGCACCTTGCCCTCTGCAAATCTAAATATAGATCATGCACCCTGGCCTCTTTGCTATGAGACTGATTGCAATTTGAAATGCAATTCAGCAGAGCACTAACATGTTCCCCTGTACACATGCCACGATGACAAAGCAGATTTGGAGCGGGATTCACACCACACTGGAAAGAGATACGCATAGTGGAAGTACAATTCACCAAGAAGAAGAAGAATTGAGTATCGACCATTCAAAAGTCTGCCGCATGCCCAGAAGCATCGGTGGGGCATGGCGCAGAACCCAAGAACCGGTCGAAAGAGAAGCATGGAGCAAAATGCAGCAGAAGACTGATATACACAGAGCTGACTCAGCATGACTTGTCAGACTCTGACTAACTGCACACTCGTCATCATTAATCACGGGTGTGGGACACGGCGATACATACGTAGAAGAAGGTCGCCATGTCCGTATACATCCACATACAAAAGGAGGCAAGAGATGAAGTGGGGGAGATGTAGAGGGGACATCAACCCGGAATCGTGTTGCCAATAGATAGTCTCGCAATGTCCCAATGTCCCCAGTCTCAAGTCTCTCTCTCTCTCTCTCTCTCTCTCTCTCTCTCTCTCTCTCTCTCTCTCTCTCTCTCTCTCTCTCTC